GCTAGTTCTTTGGTTTTGTATTAGAGGTTTGTGTTTAAACATGATTATTTGCTTAAAGTGAGTAATATATGAGAAGAAATGTTAAATTTCGAGGAATCTCTTAGTTTATAGTTAATAAGCTTTCTTCCATTTTGAGTTAAAAGTTGGTAAAGAGGTTCGAAGGTCGATTTCATCAGAAGACGACGGTGGATTCATCTTGACCAATTGTCGACTGGCCTTATTTGAACTTTCCTTGTGACGCGCTTTCCTAAGCGATCTCCTTCGATTCCGGTAAACAACTTCTAAACTTTCATCCATCTTAGGACGGACAAAATCAAATAAATTTATCGTCACCGTTCTCTTCTTGTGGTATTGCCCTTCGAATGCCTTCTCCAAACTCTGTCACTTGAAATGAAAGTGAGCTAAACAATAAATTTAGTAAGCTCGTATAGTATTCTTATTTCGAATTCGTTATACAAAAAAACCATTATCCATAATGACATTGTGATGATATAGGCTTTGCCTATACAGTATTGCCTATTTATATTTGTCAAAGGGGTATTAAGCTTCATAAATATCTTTTTATTTGTGAATTTTATTTCCAATATGATTATGAAGTATTTTGGATCTGGCAAAAATTGGACTTCTTATCCATGCTACAAGTTTTTACAGTAAGTCTATATCACAAATGAATTGCACCTTGTCTTACTTTCTTCATTTGTCCTGTTACCATCTACAGCGAGGACTTGAACCCAAGATGTGTAGACTCATGTGCCTCCTAAACTTCATGCCCCCCCCCAAATTCAGCTCTTATATAGCCTTTATAGCACAATGTATTTTGTCGTAAAGTTATTCCAAGCAATTCTTGGGTGTAGAGCGATTCTGCGAAACTTACCTTTGTTGGTCTGTCACCCAATAAGGATGATTTAATGTACAAGGAATAATGGCCTAAAGGGCTTCGTAGTCCGGTCTCTATGCCAAGTCCTGGGAGCAGATCCGAGCAACTTGGGGTCTAAATGGGTTCTCTCCATTCGAGTCTCGTGATCCAATTTCTGGCTGCTTCTTCACCTCAAGTTCAGATGAACTTTTCAGGGTTCATTTCTGTTTCAGTAAATCGAGTGCAAACCAGCTTGGCCCATACGTTCCAGCGCTGTGACATGAAATCCCTTTTAAGCAAGTTGCTAAGGCTGGCGGTATTGGGCTTGGCAACATTTGACTACTTAACATTTGCCCTAGTTTGTATAGAATACAAACGATCTCTTGCATCTAAGAGGAAATTTTTTCGCTTAACAACATTCCTATGAATTGTGCAAATGCATTTAAGCCTGTGCCGACATAGCTCACTTGCCAAAGCAAGGCTTAAAACACATGTTGCCAAGTAGTTAACATGTTTTCCCAAATGTCTTGAATTTCACCTTTAAAATCCATTTATGTTTGCCTACTTTGCGTTGAGAAGTCTACATGTTTCCTCGTCGTCAGCACTCAGAGCCAGCCACTTCTACATTGTCATTGCCTCAGTTCATCATGCAGTTTAATGCTTGTGTGTTGGCCGTCATACTATTATAAAAATGACTTCAAATACTTCATGTGATACCAACTTGACGACATGCTCAGTCCAGCTATTCTGCTATGATCATGCATTATTTGCTCTGCTCTTTCTTCTCAGGCGAAATTGGAATAGACACGTCGTGGATGACTTTACACTTGTTTAATAATCATCTTACCGGCTGGAGCTCGAGCCAGAGTTCTTTACGCTGCCGCTTCCAAAAGTTCACCTGTCCTCATCTTTGCCTCGCGCTCATGGAGGGCCTCCGTTCTAAAAAAAATGATTAATCGAAAATTGGGGCTTAAGAGGGGCTGACCAATGGATGTCGAGTCAATCTGTACATACATCAAGGACTCTA